AGATGTCAACTATGTCTATATGGAATGAGCACACCAACATCGCTGACTGAAGGTTTATAAATCATATAATGCAAAGTCAAAGAAGGGATTAATATCAGAGCCTAAATTATGAGAATGCAGTTTGCAGAAGGCTAGAGATGACAGTGGAAGCCCAAGATTTGTTTTGGGGAACTGTATAGGAAACAAGCCTCTAGTGAACGCCCTCTGTCCACAATTGAGGGATGGAAGGAGAGTGGTGACTAAACAGAGTGCACTGGAGAGAGGAGTATAGAAGGTCCAAGGCACACATCTGACTTGAACAGTTAAAACCTTGTCAGTTGATCCCCCTCTGATGCACACTAGACCTCATCTGGTTTACAAGATTTTCTTTCTTTTTTTTCTCTCTTCAGAGATGTTATGTTATTAGAGGTCACCCTCATGAAGTAGTGTTACATGTTTTCCTGGGTTTCCATATATGAAACCCAGGATTGATGAACCTGTAAGGACCAAGTGGAATAAGGGTTTTGGGGTGGGGGGTACAGTATTGGGTGTAAAAGGGAGACATCAAGGAGTTCAAGAAGAAAAAGAATATTTGAAAACTGATTGTGGGAGCGGTTGTATAAATCTCTGTGACGTGATTGAACAATGGAATGATATAATAGATGTCTTAACTCCCAAATTTTTTTTGGAAAAATGAGAATTGTGTATATATAATATAGCTATTCTCTACCCATATGATTTTGTAACCTTTTTTTTTTCATTTTTAAACTGCTTTAAAATGCACTGATTAGTATGTATGCCAGTATGTCCTCTGTCCTTTTTGAAATGTGGATATTTTTAGAAGTCTACTGGCTACTAAATAAGTAAATTTAATTTTACCATTTATATTGTAATGGACTTTTTTATGTTGATTGTTTTAATTACATGATTTTCTGCCTAGTGTTCTGAGCAGATTGTTCACACTGGTCTTTATCATATAGCTGTTAAGCAGATGGTTTCCAAATGAGTACTACAGTTTTTCTAGAATATTTTAAAATCTTATGTTTTATGATGTCAGGATGCACCTCTTTCAAACTTGTCTCTGATACACTCCCTTTGAACATATCCCATAATAAATTTTTAGAACTATCTAGCTAACACAAACCCTTCGTCTCTTTAAAGACAATGCAGGCTGTTAACAAGAAGATGGATCCGCAGAAGACTTTACAAACCATGCAGAATTTCCAGAAGGAAAACATGAAAATGGAAATGACTGAAGAAATGAGTAAGTGTAATAAAGTGGTAATGAAATTCGCAGTTTTCTCATCTTTGAATTAGCCACGTCTATTTACCAGCAACCTCATGTGCTCATTCGTGAAGGCACACATGATGAGAAAGTAAATGACACACGGCACCTTTATGGATAGACATTTAAATTCTACCTTCAGTGCATTTTGAAATTGTCAGAGTATGAGGCTAAAAATGTATTGATATTTAACTGAAGGAAAATGATAAAGTATGTAATATTTCTACAACATACTGGCCCCAGTGGTTTTATTGTTCTGATTGGTAGACCAAAATGGGATTTTGAGCAGCGTGACTCCTCGTGGGGTAAATTGGGTTGTTTTAGAGTCATGTTGCTTCTTTCACGTTATGAAAGATCTGCTTGTTTGAGAGGTAGAGGGCAGTGGGACGTTTTTTTTTATCCTTTCTCCCTAATTCATTTCAAAATTTAAAATATAATTTTAATTCTCTTTTTTGGGTGGAAATATGGAGGATACAGAGAAACAAGGCATGTAAAAATAATTTATCCTCACACCACCCATATGTCATTACTGTTATGCTTATGTATTTCTTATCTTTTCCCATGCTATACACAAAGGCTTTTGATTCATACCGCCCAACAAGACCAACTTTTCTCTTTCATCAGCAGTGGAGGAATGAGCTTTCACCACACTTTAGTCAATGAATTAATTTTATATGTGTCAAAAACTGACATCATTTTTTGTGAAGTCATTTTGTAATTGTCGTAAAACTATATGGGATATGTTAGTTTAGTCCAGTGTATTTTAGTTCAGCAGCATTCTGACCAGAGTATAAAATTGTATCCAACTATATGTTCAGGATTGTTAAACTCTGTTTGTCTTGTATTATTTCTTTTTAGGGTCCAATGATACTGTAGGCCTAGCTTTAAACAGCTATGGGTCTTATACTTTAATTTTTTCTTTGACCCTATTGGGTGTTGTTGTTTTTATAAGACTTGAAATATTCATGAGATTTTAAAACTTAGAGAATTGTGACGAATAGAGTGAACATAATATCTAACATGCTAATGTATTTTTTGATGATACCACAGGTATGTGAGCAGGTTCTATCAGTTGAATTAACTTTACCCTTAACTTGTAATGAAGAAAATCAATAAGCCTGTGTAGCAGCGAGGAAACACACAACATTCTTCTAGCTCCTGAATGCATTCCCCGCCCCCCCAACTATCATGACCCAGTTCAACCTTCCAAACTCGGCTAGACCAGAGTGTGTACATTGGTACAGATAAGAGCTCTTGATACTTGGCATGCAGGACAGCTAACCCCCTCAGGAAAATAGTGGGAGTAGTGATTCCGTGGAGATGGGTAAGGGGGAGAAAGGGGAAACTGATCACAGTGATCACAGGGTGGATATATAACCACCACCACCACCACCCCAGGGGAGACAACGGGCAGTATAAGATACAAAATAACAATATATAATTGATCAAGGATTCACTCACGAGAGTGGAAAGATGGGGGAGGGAGGGGAAAAAGGAACTGATAACAGAGGTTCAAATAGAAAGAAAATGTTTGGGAAACGATGGTAAAATATGTACAAGTGTGCTTGATACAGTTGAATTATGGATTGTTATCTGTAAGAGCTCCCCAATAAAATGATTCATAATAAAAAGAGAGTCACCAAATTAAAAAACAAAACATATATTGTGGATCTTTTTGCATTTTAATGTTTTTCAAATGAATCTGAAATAATATTAGTTATTGGTTATTGGCAGGTTAAGTTGGCTATACTGTACATACTCGCGTATACACTGACCTGAATATCAGCCAAGGCACTTAATTTTACCCCTAAAACTGCATTAAAAATGTGCTGAAAAATTCAGTTTACACACTTGTATATACAGTAATTCTTAATTGGAGAAGTTTGATAAGGTACTGAGAGTTTGTTAGAATATATTTTCTATATCTTGAATTTAAGAAGGTTGAAAATCAGAATATAGGTATAAAAACACTAAGTTGCCTCCAAATATGAATACAATATTTAATTCCTATAAATTCTCCTTTGTCAAATTTAACAGCTTATGAGCTCATTGGATGAGAGTTTTTCAGTCAGTTTTTTAAACTTTAAGCTTGTGCTGATGACAAGGTTACTGGTTTTTAAATGTGAGCTTTTAAAAATCCGAGTAGGTTCATATTACTATAAAACAATTTATGTTGAGATTCTCAACATCATATCAAATTTTTTTGCCTCAAAATGTATTTGTTGCAATGTGCAAGTGACGTTCTAGTTTGTTGGCTCACTTAATGTACCATTCTGCGCTAGCGTAGCGGCTTACACATTGGGCTGCTAACTGAAAGTCGGTAGTTCGGAACCACCAGCTGTCCTGTGGGACAAAGATGAGACTTTGTTCCTATACAGACTAAAAGTCTCGGAAATCCACGGGGCAGTTCTACCCTGTCCTATCACAGGGTCTCTATGAGTCAGAATTGTGAGTTTGTTTCTTTTTTGGTTTGTTTGACTCTATAAAAGGCACCTGGATAATAATATGGGGTAAGCATTGGACCATCTGCAAGGTTAGTAGTTCAAATTACCAGCCACTCTATGGGAGAAAGATGATACCGTCTACTAAAAAGATTTATAATTTCAGAAATTCCAAGGAATGGTTCTACTCTGTCCTGTAGGGTCAGACTGTAGGTTGAATTGACTTGGTGGTAGTAGGTTTGGGTTGGGGACTATATACCAGTATATAAAATAGAAATATATATATATATATGCATATTTCATTATAAACCGAAAACCATTTAAAAGTAAGCCTTTGTTTTCTCTCCAAGTCAATGATACACTCGATGACATCTTTGATGGCTCTGATGATGAAGAAGAAAGCCAAGATATTGTGAATCAAGTTCTTGATGAAATTGGAATTGAAATCTCTGGAAAGGTATGGACATCTTTGCTTTGTTTCCACCCTTTTTGTCAATGAATTGCTCTAAATTACCGTTGCATACTGAATAGATTAAACCACGAATAGGACATCCTGCGCTGTTGTCATGAGTGCCCTGGACCCCGGTTCACAGCATGTTTTACTCCCTGTGTTTGAGAATGCATCTTGTTTACCTCTCTTCTTGTCTCTCTCCCGTAGATGGCCAAAGCTCCGTCAGCGGCCCGGAGTTTACCATCCGCCTCTACTTCAAAGGCAACAATCTCTGATGAAGAAATTGAAAGGCAACTCAAAGCTTTAGGAGTAGATTAGACCACAGAATCGTCACATTTTTGCTTATTGAATATTATTTAATATAAACCAGGCACAGTGCAGATTCTTTTTACAAAACAAGTTTATTTTGCAAAACTTAAGACCATGAGTGAACAGTTGTTTCCTAATCCATGGCTATTTTGTATCTTTTGCCAAAGAATGACAATGACGCAAAAATGGGAACAGTTTGGATTTTAATTCTAACTATATAGGAGTGATGATGTGTAAAAAGTTGACATTTTTTCTGCACAACCTGAGAAATTGTACTCCTTACTTAGTGCCAGTTTATGTTCTAAGTCTTTCTACAATGGACAAAAAATCTTGTTAATTGCCATTGGGCACCAACTTAAAAAGACTTGTAAAAATATTAAAAGTATATCATTAATGCTGTATGTGTAACTTGTCCTTTGTAATTATGTGTTATGAGTGTAGGCGATTAACCTCCCTTTTTTCCCTTTTGGCATTGTTCTTTTTTTTCATTTTAAAACATTTTATTACACTTTAGGTAAAAGTTTACATAGCTAATTAGTTTCCCAAGCAATAGTTCCAAAGTATTTTTAAATGCTCTAAAAGTAAAGTGCTATTTAAACATCTGTTTTTGGGGAAAAAAGTGATTTTCTTTCCTTTGGGAGAACATTCTATTTGGTAAGTTTATTACCTTTTAAAATGTGCTTGGCACTTGCCTTAAATAGCACAAGCATATTGTGTGTATCTGTAAATTATTTCAACTCTTAGAAAAAATTTATATTTTAAATCAAATTTGAGGCCTCTTACAAAAATTAAGGCTCTTACTTGTAACAGTCATAAAAATAAATTGGCAATAGCTAGAAAACTCCAAAACACTGAATTGATAATTTAATAATATTAATGAAGCATATTTTGGTCTTTCTCCCAAGAATTAAAATTTTCACCAAGTAAGTTATAATTTAATCTGCATAATTTTTAGCTGTTATATTGAACTGTGTATAATAATAAATGTGTATATTGAACCCTCTAGAATGAATTCATCAGCACCACTTAATTGCTAGCACTACAACTGCACCCAACTTAAATTTAAAAATAGAAGCGAACATTTTCCCCCCTTGGAATACACTACCATTTGGAGTGTATTAAACACCTCAGATCTGTGAATTAATGCATTAATATTGAAGACTGTGATCCTTCTCTCAAAATTTCACTTTATTTTTTTTTCATTACGTATAGTTTCCCCTTTTTGTTTGTGGAATATAATGCTTATAGAGAGAAACATATTCTCTCCTTGTACCGCCCCCTCATCAAATGAAATCAGTTACAGTATCCCATATTGGAGGTTATGCGGTTCTTTTTCCCTCACTTTCCCTCCATGCTTTCTGTCCCTTCCTCCACTCTGTCCTTATCATAGTCTCTAAAGTCTTATCCTTTGGTGTGAAATGTATTAGTAATATATTTTAAAGTTTCATTGGTGTGAAATGTGTATAAAGAGAGTGATAACTTAAGACACAAAATAGAAGATTAGTCAAAAACAATCTTGAAAAATAACTTTGTAATACTAATACCACATAAAAATGCAGAGCAACTAAAATGAAACCTAGTTGATTTGGGGTGATTGACATTTGAAATAATGTTGATAAACAGTAAATCAGTATAAGGATAAGGATACATATGATAGTAAGGATTGGCAGGAGAAATGAAAAGCTAAATTATATAATTTATCATTCATAGGCCATTTATACTTTTCAGAAATTAGGTTTCCCTGAATATTAATGGTGTGAAAAGTCTAACTGTATTATGGACTATTAACCCAGAAGAGTGTTTGATTCTTGGATGAATACAGAGGTGCCAACTAACGTTATTTTCTTTCCTGTTTACTTGTGGGGGATTTTGTTTTTACAAATTATTTTGTTAAAAAGATCCCAATAAAACTTTATTGCTGCTATGCTTTTTAAAATTATTTTGACATGTGTTTTATTTTAGTTTTGGCTTCTGCTAAAATTTAAAATATTGATGATTTTTCCAAGGAATGATTTTTAGTTTCCTGGAAGGAAAATCACGGCACCGTAGTCATGAAAAGGGGTAAGCGGGGTAAGCGGTCGACTGTTAACTAACTACGAGGTCAGCAGTTCACACTCAGCTGCCACTGCACCAGAGCAAGGTGAGCTAACTGCACTCATCCAGATGTACAGACTCAGACACTCCTGGTGGGGTCACTGTACGTGCAAGTGTACATTGACCCAACGGCATTGCAGCAGGTGTGGGGAGACGTGGACAACGAATAGGTAACTGCGCTGTGTAGCGGCTAGTGCATTGGCCTTTGACTGGCAGCAGCTCCCCACGCACAGCAGGATCAGACCATTGTAAGCAAAAAGATTTTCATTGGCTAGTTTTTGGAAGTAATTTTCTTTCTAGAGTGTCTTCGTCTGGAAACTACACCGAAACTTGTTCAACGTGAAAGCAAGACGCGCCTGTGCTAACAGAAGAGCGGGGGCTGCGCTTGGAGACTGAATGCGGGTCTCTGTGGAAGATGAGAACGCTGCCCGCAAACCAGCCCTGCCCCTTTGGCAGATACATCCGGGGCGGGGTGGGGGTGGGTGGGGGGTGGGGTGGGGTTGATTTTTGTGTCAAGCATGGATACCACAGAAGACTTGGGCACCCAAAAGAGAGATGAAAGCAATGCTCATTTTCTAAATGGTTTTTACATTTATAAAATGCTATGGGAGAGATTTTTTGCAATTGTTACAAATGTATAATGATATTTTGTTCTTTCCTGAAGATAACACAGTTCCTTTTGAACTATTAAAGATTGGGAAATAAAGATTCTTAAACCATTTGACAGTATTGATAATTTTTCTAGGAGGCTTGAGCTCCCTAACTTCCCTTTTAAATAAAATAATTACTTTAATAATTGTATTCAGATTGCATGTTTTTACATAAAAATTTCCTGGGAAAAGAGTGCCAAAATCCCACACCTTTTGCCACCGAGGCCTCAATTCTGAGTCCTGTAACCACCCAGCAAAGAGGAGAGTGGCCCTACGTTTCTGTGCTGTACGTCCGGGAGACATGGAGCAGCTGGTGGATTCAAACTCTTGACCTTTTGGTTAGCAGTCGAGTGCTTAACCACTGTGCCACAAGGACTCCAAGAAAGCACTATAGTGATCCCTCTCTTCCTGAAAGTAATGCATTCCCAGTGTCACACCCTGTTACCAGATTCCAAGAGGAGCTTTTATGGTAGCAGAACTCTAGTGCAGTTAAAAAGTCAGTCCTACTGCTGGTAACACCTGGTTTTAGAAATCATGACACATCTGTCAGGGTATCATGTCCCATAGACTGTTTTGTGCTGTCTGGGGAGTACCAGATTGTGATAGGTGGTGGAAGGAAGTGTTAAAATGAGACCCTCTGGATTAGAACCTAACCAGCGATTGACTATTATTTGGCCTGTACAGGTATAGTTATTATTTGCACCCTAATACTTTTGGAGGAGTCCTGGTGGCATAGTGGTTATACATTGGGCTGATAACCTCAGGCCAGCAGTTTAAAACCACCTGCTGCTCTGCAGGACAAAGACTATCTACTCCTGTCAAAGAGTTACAGTCTCAGAAACCCACAGGGGCATTTCTCCTCTCTCCTGCATGGTTACTCTGAGTCAAAATCAACTTGCTAGCAGTGAGTTGTTTGGTGGCTGCTTACTGCCTTTAGAAATAGCCCTGGGGACTGAGTGGACTACCTGTTGGATTGCTGACTGTAAGGTTGAAATCAGCAGCCACTCCTCAGGAGAAAGATGGGCTTTCTGCTCCTGTAGATTTACAGTCTCAGCAATCCATCGAGGCAGTTCTGCTCTGGACTATAGGGTTGAAATTTACTTGGTGGCAATAATTTGAGTTTTAAGAATGCCTTTAGAAAGGAGCCATGGTGGCTCTATGGGGAAAGCATTGGACTGTTAGCCACAAGATTGACCAAAACCCACCAGCTGCTCCTTTGGAGAATGATGTGTCACCTGCTTCTGCAGAGCTTTATGACGACCCCTATATATATTGCTCTGGGTCGAAATCAACAGGATAGCAGTGGTTTTGGGCAATGTTGTTAGAAGACACCAGTATGCTCCTATTGGTCACATCACTTTCCCATATGCCCAGGAATCACACTATCCTGATCCCTGCATAGTGCAAGCTGGAAGGCTGACAGTTCACCTGCACCCAGAGCCACTCCAGACAAAGAATGGTGATTTACTTCGAATGAACCTGGAGCAGCTCCGCTCGCTGGTACACATGGGATTGCCATGCGTCTGAGTTGACTAGACAGCAACCGGTTTGGTTTCTGTTTCAAGGAGGTGTGTTTGGCAGTTTGAAGAGACCGAAGATGACTAAGTCCTTTGATACAATGACTCTGCATGGATGATTTCTCTGAACAGAGTAACTCCCATTTCCTCCCGATCAAAACTGAGTCACATTAAGATTTAAGTGATTTTTGTAACCTGAGTTGCTGTAAGAGTCCGTTGAGTTGAATTTGCCCTAGAGGAAACCTAGGGATTATGAAGCCAGATTTCTGGTACTGTTTCAACACCCCCCTCCTCTATCCAGGAACCTAAAAACACCACGCTGGCCGTTATACTTTATGTCAGCTTGAACCTGTGTGACTGTGTAGGGGTGGATGTCCTACCTATGGTCACAGCCTGAAGATGCCCCTTGGGGTGTGTAGCCATTTTATGAGAGACTCTGGGGACTTCTTTGTGTCCTTTACCCCTGCATGCTGCTTCCAAGGGTGGCCCCATGTGGCTTGTCAAGCCAGGGAACTGCCAGCATCCTGCCATGTTGCCATCAACCCTGGATCCATTCAACTGGATCACAGCCCACGGGCTGTGGTCTCCCTGCCACCTGCCTTCACCTTTCTGTGTCATCAGCCCACAGCTCTGAGTCCCAAGAGGGCTCTGTCACCAGGCCCATGGACTTAAGTTGGACTGGGCTGGGGTACCTTCTTGATACAAAGTTTGTCCTCATACATATGAGTTTCACCCAGCTTAACCCAACTTTCCATCTCCAAGTAATACTAGCAAAATTCCTTTAATTTATGACGTTCTTTAAATGCTTAGGAAAAAAAGGCAAATCACACTGATAGTCAACCACCCCTACCGGCTCAACTTGAATGAACCAATCAAGCATAATGACAAACATCTCTAATGGATGAATCGATTGTATTGTGAAGTCTTACCATTAAAGAGAAGCCCACCAAGAAGGAAACACGGGAAAACAATAGCTACAGTCAACCTCTGATGTTTATTCCCCAAAGTGTGAATGCATAGATACTACACACTATACTGCATTTTTAATTTACATATATGCCTGATCACAGTTTTAAGTTTCTAAATAATATTGATCATTATCTATTCTTAAAAGGTAAAAAATAGCTAGGAAAATACACTCCCAGTGTAGTTAGAAAATGAATGATTGAAATACCAAAACCCATTAATACAAATTAAGTGAATATACAAGTGAATTTAAAATTAGCTTTTGAACAGCTAAATGAGTAGAGAATGACTATTTCAATATTAAGTGTTGATTCAAAATAATTCTCAAGAAATTGGCTCTATTGAAACTTGAAAACTGATGGATATCTGATAATATGAGAGTACCCCCCAAAACCAGAATTTTTTTTCAAATTTTGTATTTAATTTTTGTTTTGACAAAACAACCTTATCCCCTTCAAAGTACTCTCCATTACACTTAATATATTTGTCAAATCTGTGATTCTATTCTTGGAAACATTTTTCAAACTCATCTGTTTGGATGGCTGATCACTCATTTTTTTCCTTCACCTCTTCTACATCTTCAAATTGTGGTCCTTTCCTGTCCCTCTGCATTTGAGGAAACAAAAAGAAGTTGCACGAAGTGAAGTCAGGTGAGTTAGGTGTGCGGGGCAAGAGAGGCATGCTGCTTTTTGCCCAAAACTGGCACACTGAGATGGCTGCGTGAGCAGGTGCATTGTCGTGGTGGCAAAACCAGTACCCTGTCTGTCACACATATCGGGCCTTTTTTGTTGCACACTGTTACGCTATCTTTTCAGAACCTCTGAATAGAAAGCTTGATTGACAGCCTGAATGAATTCCAAATGCATGATCCCCTTCATATTAAGAAAACAAAACAAATGAGCATCGGTGTTTTGCATTATTTATGGTCTAAACATATGAGAGTAAATGAAAGCATGATGCTACAAAATCATAGATATTTTGTTAATGATATAAAATGATGAAGCTATTGTTTTTCCACATAGCCTCAATCTGGATTGACACACTTTCAAAGTTGGTGTCTCCATCTCTCAGACTCTTCTTCCCCAAAGAATTCTGGATGCTCTGTTTTACACTATGTGGAAACAATGTTGGCATTCTAGAGGGACTCAAAATCCTTTTCAGTTCCTTTTTGGGAATGAAATGACATCTAAACAAGCACAATTAGGGCTTTACGGGTAAACAGAGTGGCTAAACATTGGGCTGCTAACTGCAAGGTCCGCAGTTCAAAGCCACCAGCCATTTCTATTGAGGCTTTCTACTCCCATTGTAAGTTACATTCTGGAGACCACAGTGGTCATTTTACCCAGCCCTATATCCTCAGCATGAGTCAGAATTCCCTCTATGGCAGTGAGGAGGGTGGATAGGCTAAGGTTTCACAGTGAAATTCTCATGACAGTCTTTACGATTCTTCAAAATGAGCAAGTGCTTTACCACGGTTGGGCACTATTCTTCAGTACATACTTCCTCAACATTTTATCACCTGTTTTTCATGTCCTTAAGCCTTTTCATGGCAAGTTCCTTTTCTGCCCTGTGTCTTTCTAGAAGTTTCACCAATATCACTGCTCGAGAATAAAAAATAAAAGCAGTCACCATAACCTGAGCTGCCCGCTCCACCTTGAATTTAAGTAGTTCCCCAAGCCACAGATTTGTTAGTCTTTGTATTTCATTTTTATTCAGAGCTCTTACAAATACCATAACTTTTCATATTTCACTCACATCAAGCAGTATTGTACCATTGCTGCCACAAGTAGTTTCAAAACACTTTCTTATTCCCCTCCTGGATATCAGCTCCCCTTTATCCCACAAAAACAAAACCCCCCAGGAATCCTTATTTATTATTTATTTATTTATTCATTCATTCATTCATTCATTCATTTTTGCCCTATCTTATTCTATCCACTCTCTTCTTTCACATGCCATTCTGTTGTGCATTCCCCTTGAGCGGGGTTTTACAGTCCTCCACGCTGTCACATACACCCCTTCCCGTACCCTCGGGGTTGTATTTCTGATGTTTGGGATTGATTGGAAGGGGATGCGTGGGCAGGCAGATTGATCACCTTGCTGCCGTTGCTGTGAACGTCGTCGGAAGCTGACGCAGCTCCGTATCCACAGCCAGAAGACGGACGAGAGCGCTGCTCTGGATCCCTGGCCTGCTCTGGATTTCCAGGGAGCAGCCTCCTTCTCTCGATTTTACTGTCTTCAGTTCCGCCTGTCTGCCATCTTACGTCCATCAGCGCAAGCACACGGGACCTCACTTCCATGCTTTCTTATTTTGGTAGAAAACGGACCCTGCTTGTTACGGATTGCCTGCTGGCAGATCACCCCGGAACCCAGCTTGAGGTGCCGGCACCCAGCAGACTGGATCTTTCTGTAACGCAGCTTCACAATCATACGGCCGACGAGAATAGTGAAGCCGCTCAGAGATAACAGAAACACGTGAAACACATTGTGCTTGGGAATCAAACAAACAAACATGCATTTTCTGGAACCCACCCTAGTAGCAATTTTGTTACTTACCCTTGTACTATTGACAATAATGATTGATAGTATTGATTATAATGAAATACGAAGATCTTTATTTGGGTACTTAAAGTAAAGCAGGCAAACATCACCAGCAGCTTCATATTAAAAATGCGTAGAAGTCACTATTCTAGATTTATTTTGCATTACAGGTTGCTTCCATTTGCAATTTTCAAAGAAGTACATTCCTATAAATTAAATCAATACACTCATTGCAACCCAAGTCCTTCCACTGGAAAATACAATATAGCAAACTTATTTACTAGTAATTTCGATTCTAACGAATTAAGTCAAAGGTTATAATTTTGTGTGTGTGGTAGGATTCCACTGATGGCTTTCAGTAGTTTGTGATTTCAAAAGGTAATTGGTACTATTAAATTGGGCACCTTTAAGTGTAGAGCCACTGTCACATGTATTCAGTCAACAGATGCTGCATGCCTGCCCTCAGCAAACACTTCCGCAGGCCCTGAACAACCGACAGCAATCCAGCCAGACTCCCTGCCCACCCACGCAAAACTAGGAGCTCTGGCGGCGCTGTCACCTAAGCACAAAGACGACGCTGCCTCCACTCTTAACTATTTACAAAGCTTCCGATGCCTGATGTTGGGTTATTATGTGACAGAACTGACCTGAAGGCTGTGGGTTAGAACTGCCTACATGCCTCGGCAGCGCTATGGGTCCCACGTTGGCCTAATAACCACAAGGTGGTGACTCAAACTTGCCACCTGCTCCTGACACCCAGAGGAGCCGTCTCTTCAGGCAGGGTTTGAAAACCTTGCAGTCGGTTGTGCGAAATTGAGATCTACTCACTGGCAGTGGGTAGCACAGACTAGTGGTCTGAGGCCCAAGAATAATACACTCAACACATGTTATAGCTAAAAGTTTTTTTTTTAAAAAAACCTAAATCTGCAAAGAACAAAAAATTCCTAACTTACTGTTTCTACAAATCTCTTTGAAAACGGTTCTTTGTGTTCTCGGTCCTAACTATTGGCTCCAAAGGTTTATTCCAAACTTTAGATTTATTCCTAAATATTGGTTGAGGTTTATTCCAAATTCAATAATAAATGTGCAAGCACCTCTGGCTTTTCATTTCAAACTTCATTTATTCCACGAAGCTCTTGGGGTTTATGAGAAGCCGCTCGTGGGTCCGTGGATCTTTCTGAGCGCATCTTCCCTGGAGAGAGTCTTTAGCTACGTGCAATAATCCACATACTTGTTGGTGTGGAAGCATGTGGGTGCAAGGGGGTTGAGAAAGACAGACTTTTTTTTCTATTAGTATCTTTGTGTTAAAATGTATAATGTGGGTTCGGAGTATAGCTGTTTTCCAGGTTGTCATAATTTAAAGCAAAGGGGAAAGCTTCTGCACAAAGCTGTCGATATGGTACAGTTTTGAAGCCACCCAAATAGCTAATTTCTATTTCTGCTGCCGGGGAGAGAGGAATTAATCATAGAGAAAAAGGCTAGGAACCAAAGGACATCTTATCTGCAATCAAGATGCTCCTTAGAAATAGTAAATAAACTCTGATTCAGACTCGTTTTCACCCGTTTTTCTCTCTGCCTCCGGTTACAGAACCAAACTCTTACGACTTCTTTTTCAAGATTCAGTTCCTCGGCCATCCGCATGATCTCCTGAGAAGACGGCTTGTTCTGGTCCCCAAAGTGCCTCTCCAGAGCATCTTTCGCTGCAATACTGGGAGGAAGAAAGGAAAGCATGTTGTTTTTGGTGATTTCTTTCAGCTCAAAATTAGATGGAATCACCCTAATATAAACACAAAAAGGAAGTGGAAAGACTCTGAAGATACTTGTAAAACTTTTCAATACCGGGAAATATACAATTTGTTATACATTTAGAAGTTTGTCTCTGTAGGGTAAAAATGAGTTCAGACTTTGCTTATCCCACCTTCGACCACCAGAGGGCACCGAGTTCTTACATGTTCAGAACCATTTATATTCTTTACCAGAAATCAAACGTCTAATGGACGACGAACAAACCAAAACAAAACATATTTAGCTTTTCCTATGAGCATGATATAATCCCTGGTAGCGTACCAGTCCAAACCAATTTGCCAGTCCATGAGAGATAAATGTGGCAGCAAAAATGACAACCTTGGAAACTTTATGGGCTGCTTGACCTACCTTTTTAAGATCCCTCTCACTACCATCAAGGCGATGCCAACTCATAGTGATCCTATAGGACAGGCTAGAACTACCCTAGTGAGTCTTGCTTTACAGGAACGCTATATGGGAGTAGAAAGCAGCAGGTGGTTTCAAATTGCTAACCTTGCGATGGCAGGCCAATGCGTAACCACTACGCTGCCAGGGCTGCTTGGGGTCACTATAAATCGAAATTAACTGGGCCGCAGTGCATTTTTCTGTTCATTTGTGTTGTGGTTATATGTTTGGGATGACCACCTTGCAGGCCAACTTCAGGGCAGTGGGCCCTTCTCAAGGAAACCATTGCTATCGAGTGAATTCCAACGAACAACTATTCTATATGGGGTTTCTGAAGCTATAAATCTTTACAAGAACACACTGCCACATCCTTCTCACTTGGAGGAGCTGGTGAGTTTGAACTGCTACCTTACAGTAGAAGCCTAAAGCCTAACCCACAGCTTGCAACACTAGACCCCAAAGCCAAACTCATGCCATTGAGTGGATTCTGAGTCACAGCAACCCTATCGGAAAGGGGAGAGCTGCCCCTGTGGGTTTCTGAGGCTCTTTTTTTTTTTTTTTTTAAATCACTTTATTAGGGGTTCATACAACTCAGCACAATCCATCCATCCATTGGGTCAAACACATTTGTACATTTGTTGCCCTCATCATTCTCAAAACATTTGCTTTCTACTTGAGCCCTTGGTATCAACTCATTTTTTCCATCTCTCCCTGCTCCCCCTTCTCTCATGAACCCTTGATAATTTGTAAAATTTTAGTTTGTCATATCTTACACTGTCCAACGTCTCCCTTCACCCACTTTTCTGCTGTCTGTCCCCCGGGGAGGAGGTTATATGTAGATCCTTGTAATCGGTTCCCCCTTTCTACCCAACCCTCCCTTCACCCTCCCAGTATCGCCACTCTAACCACCATTCCTGAATCTGTCCTGGATTCCCCGTGTTTCCAGTTCCTATCTGTACCAGTGTACACCCTCTGGTCTACCCAGATTTGTAAATTAGAATTGCGATCAGTCTGATCTGAGACTAACTCTTTATGGGAGTAAAAAGCCTCATCTTTCTCCCAAGAAGGGGGCTGGCAATTTCGAATTGCTGATCTTGCAGTTAACAGCCCAGTGTGTAACCAACTAAGCCACCAGGGCCCTGCTGCTAACACTAATAGGAACCATGAAATGATAACACCTCTCCGCAATATGAAACGTAGACTCATGCTGGATTTCAAAAGATTGAAATACTTATTCCTCGTCTTCTCTTTCTTTCTAATTTATTTGAATAGCACTATATTGCCGGAGCAAGAATTTAAATGGGCAAGGACTTCAGGCATACAAGTTTTTGAGAAGTGATTATTGTGTTTTTGTCTTTATCTAAAACTTATGAATGGAAAGTGTTTTTGCATCAAACAACCCAAACTTGTCACTAAATGCTAAAAATTACTAGCTCTCCATTCCTAAACCTTAAGTTATTAAATCATGAATCATCTTTTTTTAACTTCCCATGTTTCAATGGATTTGACTCAAATTGCATTTATGTGTTAGGTTGCATCTATGCCACACACAATGTTCATTCCACGTTTAAATGCATTCTCCTTCCTCAGTGATTTTGAATATTTCAAACCTTATAGTAGTCCTCCGTTTCCTTTTTCTTTCACTTGCTCCCACTTTTTCATTGTATAAAGCTGGAATAGGGAAAACATGGGTAATTACTTTTAAGATAGCAGGTTTGTTTTTTTTTACTATCCAATTTAGGTTTCAATTTTGTAATAAAATAATGAAAACACTCTGGTTCCTTTCCAAAAAATAATGAAAACTGAAATCACTATAAATGTGTGCTTTAAATGTCAACAGTACATGATATTTTGTTATAAGTTATAGAATATTAAATACAGGGATAAATATTATCTTTGCAAAGACAATAATTTATTAATAATACATGACCGTGGTTGGAACACTAGCTCTAAATGCTTTTTAAACCATTTTCTTTATTCAGCCTTGGCATGTAGTGTGACTAGAGAATTTCATCACACTAAAGTCTAGTTGTTCATGTGGTAGGCTAATATGTGCATGCTCCACAGCTAGACTAACGTGGTTATCTAGGTAGAGTTAGGTGATTTATATCGCCTTGCTTGCTGTAGTACCGCATCTCTGTGTGGAGGGTACAGACATCTGAATATGGTAAAGCGTAAAAACAGTCATTTCCTTGCACAAGCCACACAACTGGCAAGCTTTTCTTCTACATCTCCTTCTTTTGCTGTTTACCTTCTCATAAATTCAGTTTCACACGTGTGTTGGATCGTCACACTTTTTAAAGCAGAATAGAACAAGTGGATCTTTTTCACTGACAAAAACGAAAGGACCCACCCTCTTGTTGCTTTAGTATTACGTCTATTGATTGAATCTCTTACTACTAGATGAATAAAATAGCAGTGGCTTCGGAAACATAGCGTTAGTACCTCCTACTTGCTCAGCTTCCTCTAACCATTTGGATAATATTGCCTTTAGTTTGCAGGCGTTTTTAAAGCTGAGCTGCAGGTTTTCAAATCGGCAGATCGTTGTTTGGCTGAATTCAGAGCCGTGCACAGCTGCCAGAGCTTCGCCAACATTGGTTTGGGTGTAGCCTGTGCAAAGACAAGAGAAACAGTCACCTCCACTTTGCCAAGTAGTTTTCATCTGGGTTTATGACCACACAATTTGCATATCTTTCTTGTCGATTATTAAATATTTCATAAGCATATTTTTGTTGGAAATTTGCAATCTTTGGTAAAATCCAGTGTAGGAGTGCCCAGTATTTCAAAAATAAATCCCTTCTTGTTCATATGTTCCTTTTTCTAGAAAGTCAGAGAATTCATCTGTCATTCATAATACTTAGCCAAACTAGATATGTGTCATATAATCACTTACTAAGACACTTAAAAATCCTTGTTCTTTTTATTGTTAATATTAAATAGCTGATAATGTTTATAAGGAATCTATAATATTACTTAGTATCACACCAGAGATATTTTAACCTCAATTTTTAAAGGGAAAATTTTAATTATATTGCTAAAGATACTAAATAAAACAGATACCAAATAAAAATGCTTATTTACTCTCAAATATGTGTTCAGAAAAGTTTATTTCTAGGCTATAATCACCCAATGTTTTATGTATCTTTTTGAGCACATATCATTTATCAGCTGGTAAAGTTTCTATCTCTGGCAAAAGTATCCTCATTGATGGTTACATTTTTTAAAGAAGACAGGTTGATATAAATCATCAACACCTAGTTTGAAACATTCACATCAATAAAATAGCATGCTGAAAATAAATGGTTTGAAAATGCATACTGCTTTATTACATAGAGTAGCTATATACTATTTCAGGGCCTAAGGCTATATACTTATATGTATAAATTGATTACATATGATGCCCATCAGTGAATATTATTATGAAGTTATGGCCTATACTTATGACCTATTCCATTAGTACACAGGTCTGAGTATCATTTTCAATTTTTTCACACTACTTCGTGATTTTTTGCTAAGCTAATTGTTAGTTATTTTATGTTAAAAGCACTTAAGAAAATGAAAAAAAAGACTTTGAACGATTCAAAGAGATGGAAATACAAGTAGCTGTCAATCATGTAAGAAAGCTTTCTTCACTCAAGAAGATAAATTTGGAATGACATTACAGTGAGGTACCACTTTAAACAATCGGATTCATAGCATGTGTTCCCTCAACACCTGTTTACTTATCCATGTGCCAGTCACGGTTCAGATAAGAGGAGGTACACCAGTAAAGGTAAAAATGAAAAAAACACCCACATACACAATTAAGTAAATAAACACTCAAAAGACTTCCTCCCTAAAAGGCAGGAGATCTTTTTAGCACTGGAGACATAGTGAAATTTGATATAATTTCTACAGAGAACAATTTGACAAAGGCTATCACAATTACCATTATACATACTCTTTGACCAAGCAATTCTGCTTTTAATACATCCCCTCTGCAATATTATGTAGATGTAAATGAGTTGTTTATGGTTAATCATTGTGACAGTATTTTCAATAGGAAAAAAAAACACCAAAATATTAAGTCAGTCTAAATTCTACCAGGAGGAAGCTGGTTAGATAAGTCATAGGGGATCTGTAAAATGGGGTGTGACAGATTTGCAAAATTATCTCTGAAAGGATACATAAAAATTAAACATTGATGAACAAAAGAAAGGTCAGCAGAAGGGAAACATGTCACAGTCTACCTTTCCATGCTTTTGAACCATATGGATGTAAAATACCATTGATCTGAAAATCTATGCCTTCGGCTATTAAGAAGGAACAAGGAACTAAAGGGGATATTTTATCTTCATAATCTAACTGAAATCTGTGGAAGGAGAGCAATGTTGGACTTCTGAGAAAAATATAAGAATTGTAACAGTAATATGAATTTTAACAGTAATATGAGTGGGCTTCAGAAAGTGCATTCAAAAAGTAAAATTCTGTTATCTTTCAATTCCATTTTCCCACAACTTTTGTGAAGCACCCCCTGTATTGTATGGGTTTGCAGACCAAGCTATTTTCCCCATTGTCCATAACAAACCCATACCTAACTTAATTCTTCTCACTTTAAATTCATTGGCAAACTTTTCAAGTTCTCTGATTTCTGGAGAATCCATGTCTACTGGCTCTTCCACCAATTTACTTTTCCGTCGTAGTTCTTGCTTGAACTCGGCAGCCGTTGGGTCCTCTGCCAGGAGAGGCTGGTGCATGGGAGGGAATCCATGAGTCAAGGTGTGATCAGGAAACTTATAAAGGCACGGGGTTAGGCTACCTAAACGTAAAGAAAGAAAAGGGGAAAAGAAGGAGAGAGTCGTTTGCGATTATCTTTTATGTGTTTACAATAAGCAAGGGCCCCGCTCCTCAAGAGCTCATTATCCTGCGACCAAACCAGTGACCGTTTAGCATGGAGTAGAACTACTCCGGTAGAATTTCTAGGGCTTTATGTTTGATAGAGGCAAAATGCCTTATCTTTTGAGGTTGTTAGTTTATTGTGCCAATCTGGCCGATAAACACATGTAGGGTTAATTGAAGGGCAGAGAGATAAATGGCTCGGCGAGCCTCTCCTTTCTAGTTCTCGAATCTCTTGCTTTCTGATGGTCGCACCAGGGTGCAGCTGCCTTAGCCAGTTTCCTGCTTCAGCTGGCAAGGCTCACTTCCTGCAAGACATCCCCAAGGAGAAGCCACATGGACATACCCCGATGCAGCGGTGGGTGCTAGAGCAGCCATGTGGAGACCCCTGCCAGCACTGAGATGTTTACACGCTCACTGATTTGGCTTTCCTCCTGCAGTTGGCATCATAGTGTGTTTTGGGAGATGGAGGAGGACTTTGTGGATTGGTGTCAGACATATGGGTTAATGTTGGACTTATGGGTTTGGGCAACACTGGGTTGGGCTTTTCTTGATGCACACTTAACCTTTATATAAAACTCTCTCTTATACATGAGTTTCTGTGGATTTCTCTAAAGTACCCAGACTAACACACCTTTCTTCCATGGAGGCGGTTGATATGTTCAAATCATAGAACTGACTAGACATAGAAGCATCCCAGTGCTTAAACACTGACCCACTGTGCTTCCTTATTCTGCCACCCAAACCCAAACGACCTCCACTGCCTCCCTACCCATTAGGTCTTACAGTGGCCAGAGGAGAACTGTCCTATAAGATAGAGCAGAACTGTCCCACAGACTCTCCAAGGTGTTCAGTCTTTACACAAGCAGATGCCACATCTTTCTCCCATGAAAATGCTGCTATAGACACTCCCAGGTTTACAGACTTTGTTATAACCAGTCAACCCTTTTAGGCAGAAGCCACAGCAGCTTAAAATAAATGTAAATCATTATTTTCCACCTCTCATAGAGCAGCAAAAATAAAACAAACCCCCAGAAAGGATAATGTGTTGTATCAGATTTCAAATAATTGGAAAAAAAGGAAGCAAATTCTCTTGGCAATGTAGCCTTTCCACCCACTGATGGGAATCAGAGGCTCAGTTCTAACCAAAATGTATGTGTTATCCTCTGCTTTTAACTCATTGAACACAGTCTTTGATATCTCTTATAAATAAGGAACTAGACTAAATATTGTGCATGGAAATTTTCCCATACTGGTGTAATTAATTGTACAATATTTTTAAAGTTGCACTCTTTAATCTGTAGCTATTTTATGTTAATGGGAAATAATCATGATTTTTTAAAAATTAACAAAAACTAGTAAAATGGCAAGTATGAGAATCCAAAATATATTCAGATGATTAAATAGATTTGAAGGATCGTTTGTGGTGCAGTGCTTAAATGCTGCGCTACAAATCAAAAGGGTTTGAATCTACCAGTCACTCTGCAAGAGAAAGACCTGACCCCACGCTTCCATACAAATCCCATGAGGCAGGTCAGCTCTGTCCCTTGGGGTCACTTGGAGTCAGAATGGACTTCATGGCTTCAAACAACGACAGAAAATATATTTGCGAATTTAGTAGGCATTAAAAAAATGTCGCTTTAAAAGTTCCTTTAGAAAGTTTGCAACAATACTTCTGGAAAAATATAAAATGTAATGGAATCACTTCTTGATTATAACTTAAGGAGAAGCAAAAAAGAAAAAAAATCCATAAGGAAAAATGCAATTTAAAATATAGATAATCCTCCCATAAGAACAGAAGATTAACTTTTATGCGTGGGTTAAAGATAAGTCACAGAGAGAGTATAACAAAACAAGCAATCCATAAAAAACAACAATAAATAAACAAATAGTACTTGTGGAGTTTATCCTTTTGAGGAAAGTCTATGTCACTTGAGGGACATGAGTAAGATAGTGATATAGTAGCAAAATTCCAACACGTTTTGTTTATGTTTCCTTCATCAGTATATGAGGGTTTTTTTTATTGGTAGCAAGTTAAATTTAATTTATATTTAATGATACATTGTATAGCCTAGACAATTTAATAAAGGAAAATACTGAGAAACTAATCATGTTGCTTATAAGTATGAATAAATATTTAAACCAAAATAAATTACTACCAAATACATATAATAATTATTCTTAGAAACTTACTGAAAATAAATGATGGCTATAGTTTCTTTGTAAGTATGTTCATAAATCAAATGTGCATAATAACATTTTGTCAGAATATGTATCTTATATTAATATGTAAATACGTAATGAGAAAAGAAGACTATACATCAGGCAATTGTCAAGTTGCTTTATTCATATGTGATTACAAAAACCAAAGCTACTGCCACTGCGTTGATTCCTACCCATAGTCACTCTGTGTTCAGAGTAGAACGCCGCTGCAAGGTTCCCGGCTGTAACTCTTCCCAGAAGCTGACTGTCTTTGGCCAGTTGAATGGCTAGTGGGCTGGAACCACTGATTACTCAGCAGCTTAGCATTTACCCAGGGTGTCACCAAGGCTCTCTTCTAAAGGAAAATACATCATTTAAAAATACACCCTTATCCAATGAACCCAGGACCCCTGGTGGTGCGTGGGTTTCCAGTTGGGCAGCTAACTGCAAGCTCAATTAGACACCCCCAGCTACTCTGTAGGAGAAAGGAATAAAGTCTCAGAAACCCACCAGGGAAGTTCTACTCTGTCTCAGGGTCACTGTGCATAGGGATCAACTGGATAACAGTGAGCAAATGTGACCCAATAGACTACATTGTTTTTCTGAAACAAAATAACCAGCAAAGCGAGAGGTAAAATACCAGAAGACAAAATTATTGTTTTGGAGCCTGGTGAGACTGTCAGGTAAGCATGTAAATGCTAACTGCAGGGTCAGCAGTTCAAACTCACAGCTTGTGCTCTGGGAAAGATGAGTCCGTCTCCTCCCATAAAGATTCATAGCCTTGGAAACCCTATATAAGATCAATATGAGTTGAAATCAACTATGTGGCAGTGGGTTTTTTTATTGTCTTTCAAGTCCATTTTTTTTAAAGCGTATCCATCAATTCTATGTTTTAGTGTGTTCTGCTCAGAGAAAAATATGTAGAGCCGTTGCATCAATTTTTAATCTATGAGCTCATTTAAAAGTATCTATTGCTTTGGAGTATATTTTTAGCTTTCGATTAGCTTTGGAGTTCGGTTTATTGGAGTAAAAGCAAACACATATGTATAAAGAAAATAAGCACATAGATTTTATCACTTGCTTAATATTTATTTTTTGTTGTTTCAGAGGTTTTTTTTTTAATATGCAGAACACCAGTTCTTTTATCATTTAGAAATATCAGGCGTCACTGGATATCCTTAATAATTAAATACCTTTCAGAAAGAAGAAAATAGGCTTCCATTTGGGTTTGTACATGTAATATTTTTAAGACACTTAAAATAATGTATTTAATCTATGTCATGTTATTTTGACTGTGCATAACTACTTCGTTGAATTTCTTCTACATAAACTCACCATACATCTGAATTGTCAGTAATCTTGATCATTACTCTCAATATTTCTTCCCCCAAACCTGTACCACTACTATTGCAAATCTTCTTCGCCACACGTTGTGCTGTGTTCATTTTTCATGTGTTATTTTCAGTATCCTTACATAAACAAATAGAGTAAGAAAAATATATGTCTTCCCCCACAATTTATAATTTGGTAATCTAACTTTCCTTGGGTGTCACAATGAATAAGCTTTGCAGTTGAAACTAGAACTGAAGTCCAGTAAGCACTGCGTTAAAACACATCAAAATAATTGCCTGGTTCATTTTCCACGTTGTCTGCACTCTGGTAAAGTGATGCTCTTTCAAAGGCTTATCCTGTACTTGAAATGAATTTGGCTAGATAAATAAAATGATTTTAGGCAAAAAATGAATGTTTAATTAAAATAATATATTTATACTACCCTTAGTTCCAGTTACACTTAGTTTATACTTTAAAAATAGTCTGGAAAAGTGAATGTTTAGAGAATCAATTAGAGTGCAGTTTCTCTAAAGTACACAGGAAACATCATGTAAAAAGGTTTAGAGCATCCCAAACCGAAAGGGAAATCTCCTTCTATAATTCTGATTCTATTTTCATTAAATATAAATGCCCACAATCATCTGTAGGAACATAGATTTCCTGGAACTAACCTAAAATGAAATTCATTATGGTGGCTTCAAGTCAATCCAAACACAGTGATCTCTGTAGGATGTGGCATGTATGTGGAGGGGAATGGAGAGTGGTTCATATGGCCAATAGGGGAAAATATTTTAAAAATTCTGTTTAAAGTCCTGGTCATTAATATTCTTAAAAAGAAGGAAAAACAGTTAAAGAGTTACAAACATTTTACAGAATGCTGCATAAGCAGGTGAATGCTTCATCTGTTTGCAAGTGTTTGCACATGATTTGCAATCCCAAATTTGCCTGTGGAATTGAGGATTCATGCTCCATCAATGTTCTGACTTGTTCTGTATGTAATTTTGTGTAGAGGAAATGCAGTGGAAATGGGAGAGAAAAAGAACTAAATACTTTAAAGCAGGCACCGGGAGACAGAAGGGACTGGGCCTCTGACGTGCGGACTCCCATTTACATGGTTAGCAGCAGACGCCTAGTCCAAGCACAGGACTGAGCAAAACCGGCTTGCCCACACCTCTGAGTTTGTGGGCTTTGAGGCCTTAAAACAATAAACAGAAGAAGCAGAGGGCCAAGGTAAATATATACCGCCTTGCCGTGGACATAACATAAGAACCTAAGCATTTTGAACTTCCATTTATTTTACTCCTTACGTACCAGATAGAACTGAACTGCTGACGCAGAGGTTATGCGCTGGGTTACTAAATGCAAGGTCAGCAGTTCGAAGCCCCCAGCTCTTCTGTAAGCATAAACTGGGTTTTCTATTCTGGTAAGGAGGCACGGTGTCGGAAGTTCACAGGGGCAGTTCTGCCCTGCCCCAGGGTTACGCGAGTCGACATTGACTACATGGCAGTGAGTTTGTTTTTTCGGGGTTTTTTTGAGTAATCATTTCACCTCCATGCAGTGGTAAATCCTGTCCACACAGGGTCTACAGCTGGATTTTGGAATGTTCGTTTTACTGGAACACAGGCGCACGCGTTCATTGGGTTATATTGTCTCTGATTGCAGGAGGACGACCATTGCAGAGCTGCGTTTTTGCAACAGAGAGCTGCAAACTCGCTGCCCTCGAGTGCACGCGGAGGACGCACAGGGACCCTCCATCCAGCACCGAGGAGAACGGCCTCGGTGCGTTTCTGAGACGGCAACTCTGCTCGGGACTAGAAAGTCCTGTCTTGCTCCCGAGGTGCAGCTGATGATTTTGAGCACATGTCGGGTCCGTGCAAACAACCCAAGAAAAAGAAGGATCGAGGGAAAGAAGCATAAAGAGGTGCGCTCTAAACCAGGCCTTCGGTACCAACCGTCCATGCCCCCTGCGGCCTTTGCTTCCTTGGCCCGCGTGGGGAGGGCACGTCCTGCCCCATCACCTTCGATCTATTTTTCACTTTTACTCTGAAGGCGAAGTAGCTCGGGGTGCCGTGGGGTAAAGAGCGGAGAAAAACACGGCTGTCTGACCCGTAAAGATTTTGTCTCAGAAAGCCAGGAACCGGGTCACGAGTCAGAATCAACTAGAAGTGGGTGTTTTCGTTGTTGTTTTTAATTTCCAAGTGTAAGTTTTTTGGGCTTTTAAAATTCTCTCTGAAAATTAATCTTTAAAAAAGAAACACACGTGGTTTGGCCACTGTACCACGAAATCATGTTGGTTTTCACACACATGACGTCGAATCTGATTTGAACAGTATCTAAGGAAAGGGGTTTGGGGGGGGCACTGTGTTTGTGGCTTGACCCCACTGCTTTAGAAGCTAGAGAAGAGACACAATCTCAGACGCTCACGAATCTGAGTTTTCTGGAGTATTTTATTGTTAGCTTGTTTTGTTTATTTTTGTATATTTATCTAAAAGAGAAGTCATAATGCATTTTTATTCGGGCTTATCAAAGTATCTAAATTTTCCAGAGGGAAAATTATAGAACCAGGAATTTAGGGTCAAGTGCATCTGAAGTGAAGCTTCAAGGAGAGAGGAAGGATGAACTAGGGTAAATTTGTCAGAACTTAACATCCGTGGCATTGTAATCCCACTCAACATAAATATGAAGCGATTGACCTTCCGAGGGGTTAGTTCTCTGCACAAGGTGCATAGATAATGTACGGGTGGTCCACTGCTTCCGATTAACCACTATTTTTGGTCTGCCCACACCTAGGCCGTGAGGCACTTTACCGTCATCTGAGAAGCTTCCTTCCCTCAACCTTAACAAAATATTACCAATAGCCCTCTCTTCCAGTGGGTTATTAATTGAATAGAATGCTCAGATTAAATGCAAATGTTAGAGTATAGGTAACAAAGTCACCATATTTAGATAAAATAATTTCACTGCTTTAGAAATATGCCTTCGCTTAAGTTTATGTATGTGACACTGAACCTGTCTTTGAGCTTGTTGAGGACAGAATGCTTCTGTCGATTTCGTGAAAACGAATAATTAGAAGAACACCTTGCGAATACCAGAGGATTCAAATGACCTATCTGAATTTCTATTATATGCTTTATTCTTTTTCTCTTCTATCTGCTTTATCTTAAACTCGATTTCTGCAGCATCTCTAGGGATGTAAGCAAGAGAGTGAAGATTCCAGGAGATTTAATCTGCCATGAAACAAATGTTAATACTTTATATATGTCCAAGTATGGACATTTTAACAAATTATGAAGTATGCTAAAAAATATTCAAATATAATCACGAATTATTCTTGCCATGGTAAGTTTTTCCCTTTAGTGACAAAATATATACCATTTTATTTTAAGGATATGTGTTACCTTGAAATATGAATGTAACCATTTTCCTCTTAATGATGACAAAGGCAGGTGTGAGTCACTTTAAAGCCTGTTTCAGGGACCTCTCACTGAGTGTGAGACAGCGATGAGTCAAGGAGGACTGGCTGGCTGACTGCAAGCTGGATGGAGCTGGTCTCTACACGACCTAAGCTGTATGTTGACTCGCAATATGAACAGGGACCTGATCTCTTGAGAATCAGGAAAAGATACTAGAATGCTCAGGACCATTGAAAACATGCTAGGCCAGTGATGCTCCTTTTGATTTGTTGGTGAGAAAAGTGGTAGAAAAACTATCTGAAGGTATTTGAGCAAGAGATTATTAGTCCCTGGTCTATGACTGATTTTACTTTTGGCTAACTCCAATCTTTTGTAAGTGATTGATTCTATGTAGGATAAGATAGGATTGATAAAATGTAGGATACATTTTTACGTCTAAAAATGTACGTGCTTCATGGAAATAGCCAGGAATGACTGTTATCCTTTCTTAAAGGAGAGTACAGTACACAGGCATGTGCTTAGCATTGCTAACAGACATAGTCAAAGCACTGCTACCTGGAACTCCTTTGCTGTCATGCACTCCGTGTTATTATTTACAATGAAACTAATTCATTCCTGAGAGGTGTTATTTTCAACACCTATGAAGTTAAATTAACTAAATGACTAGTTTTCAAAGAGGGAGAAAAGTTATAGCTCTTCTTTATTTTAATTATTAAATATAACATCACAGTTTATAGGTCACTAGGAAAGGACACCAGTCTTTCCTTTTGCCATAAATGTAGTTAAAAACTAGTTTATTCAGAAATAAAGAGTTTATAATTGAGAGAGCATAAGTCAATATTTTTCTGACATTTTGTTTTACTTTAAAGATTTAAATGTATATTAAACTGAGAAACTTTTGAGAAAAATCAAGATACATGAACACATTTCTTTATTCAATCTAACTTTCAAATTAGAGGAAAAGGTCCGTTTTTCTTTTCATTACTTATTCTGGATTACAGCAAAATACAATTCAGTTAGAAAATATTTCTTTCATATATGTTTCTCTGTCAATGTCACATACACATACGAGTATACACATATTGCATGTACACACTACTATGGTAGCTTCTTGTCACTCTTTTGAATTATCATCTTATTGGATTAATAAGTGCAACCAATCAAAGAGATGATATAAACAAATAACAAACAATGATACAACAAAAAATGGACATACTTTGTAAGTAATTAAAAATGTGAACCTTAGCAAGACTCTGAAATTAAATAGTGAATTTTACGATGAAATACTGTGCTAGCAGTGACTTCACACAAGTACCAATAAATAGGTTTGGGACAGCAAAGTTTCATTTTTTCAGAGGGAAACTCAAATATCTAGTGATTTTTCTCTCTATTGATACTCAGAAGAAAATTATGAAGGACATGCAATTCCTCAAACAGCTTTTATGAAAGCGCTCGGTCAGTGTCTTCTACCTTCCTAGGCTACTTGTCCAGAAGGAATGTTGTGAAGGTGGAAATAGTCTGTCCACTTATGCTGTCCAATATAACCTCAAAAGGTAGAGTATTTGAAAGATGGCTAATGCAACTGAAGAACCAAACTTTATTTTAGTTAATTTAAATGGAAATAGCTAAAGTGGGTAGTGGCTTCCAAATAGTACCGGAGACAAGCCCAACCACACCGTTGAGACGTGACAGCTCACAATTTGATATACGAAGCAAGCCTAGAAGTCAAGGAGCACAGCAGTTCAGGGTGATACAGAAGTCATCAGCTGTAACCACTGTGATCTCTGAGAAAACTGTTAGATATGACTACTAAATACCAGAAAGATCGCAATCAGCAGTTGTTTCAACAGAAAGTTTCAAGGTAAATTGTAAGACATGCTCTGGTTCTCATTCTGTAAGGCCCAGAATGTCCACCAAAGTGTTCTCCTATCCAATCTCATCTACCAAAGTGTTCTCCTATACAATCTCATGCACAAAGGGTTGTTTTTCTTACCTGCCATCACTCCATATGTTGAGGCCTGGTTTCCATAATGACAGGAGGGAACCGAATAGTGAAGTCCTGTTGCTGTGTTTCCCAACGTTGTCACCGAGAAATATGTAGGCAAGCATTTAGGATTTGGATGAAAAACAAAATACATTGGATTGGTAAGAAAATGTATGAGGATGGAAAACAAATTTGTTTCACTTTCAATATATATGCCCTTGTGGGTTTTTAAGTTGATATTATATGCCAATAGTTTTTCCTTTATTTTGGAGAAAAGTTCTCTGATTAGTTCGTTAAAATTAGGCATCAAGATTTATCTTAAGTAATTAGAATATAAATCCCCATCCATGAATTATCCTTATGCCCCATGAAAATGTGCCTGACCAGTTTGAATCTTGGTGCTCTGAAATTTTCAGAATCCTTGTAAGTCCAATTCAATATAGATGTTGAAATAAACTGAGTAGAAGAATTACCTCTAAAATTTTTTATGTAACGTAGAATTATAAAGTGGTTGTGTGTAGTGCGTGTGTGCGTGTGTGTGCGTGCCTGTGTGTGTTTCAGGAAGAATTGATTCTGAAACTAAGCTTGAGCAGTCTTATCTATTTATTTATATTTCTCCCCAACCAAAATCTTCAATCAAATAAGGCATGGCAGAGCAATTGACTTCCTCTTGGATACAAGCATAAAAACTCCACTATACTGTATTCAGGGTGTGACAACAAACCTGTGACGATGTATATGTATTTATGTTGCTAGTGAAACCTTGAAGTCACTGGTTGTTTTGTCTCTGCACATACATATAACACACAGTATTTGAAGGGGTTGCTGTATGGTCTGCAAAAACCTTATAATGCATGTGCTCTTTGCATAGAAATGTAGTATAGGTTCTCTGTGCACACACATTCAATTAAACAATTCTAATGACAGCTCATTAAACAATCCTAATCGATTGAGGAGTAACTTGACATGCATAATTGTTCAATGAAATAGATAAATATGATCTCATTAGCAATAGTCATATACCTCTTTGAATCAATGTTTATTTTGAACATAAATTTAAATGAGTGAATTTAATTAAGCTTTAAAGACTGATCACCAAGAGGGTTTAGACAACCGTGGACTATTCATAGTAAAACTACAAATCCATATTTTATTTTAATTTCCTTTATATCTATGTACAGCACTAAGGTTTCACTAATATAATTGCATCTTTAAAAATAAGTATAGTGTATAGTATAATTAATATAATTGAAGTCTTTTAGAAAAGTTAGATATTCTAGAGATTCGATAATCTGCAAATTAAAGTTATGAAATCCCTTTAGAAATGAAAACATATTTTATTAAATATAGAAAGTTTTGACTTGTTTTTTGTATCTGCATAAGTTTTCATTTTGTAACTCACAGAAATCATTGAAGCCATTTTATCTTATTATTGCTACACATAAAAGTATCATACTACCCATTCCAAAGTAAAGCAATAATCTTGAAACACATTTAGCAACCAAGTGTTCTTCCTATTACAACAAGTATTTTTAAATTTCTAACTCTGACAATTAGAAGTACAAAAATATTTTATGGAAAAACTATAAATCAATGCTATAATCTTGTAATACATCTTTAGGATGTTATCTTAGTTTCCTTTATTTTTACTTATTTTCACTTCCAAGTCTTCAATAGTTTTTATTGTACTGCTTTTGCTATATCCATTTAACTAACTTTAAATAATTAGTATTTCAAAACCTGAAATTGCTAGCTCATTGCTACAATTCTAAATTTTATTACCTTGATTGTCAAATATTTTTTCATACTCAGGGGGGTTAGACAAACATTGTATCATTATTTACATCCCCAATCTGAATAATATAGGAGATCTATTATTTCAAATGAGTTTAGTTGCCACAGGACTAAGCCCTACCGGGCAGGCCAGCAATCTGAACACAGCAGTTGGTCCACAGGATAAAGATGTCTCAGTCTGCTACTGGAACGCTTACATCCTAGAAGTTCTGTTGGGTTTCTCTGCCCTGTAGGGCAGCTTTGATTTGGAATACACTCATATTGTGTGGCAATTGTTTCGATTTATTAAAAACGCTTTTGGGGAGACAACTACTATTATATTTTCTAAAAAACGCATGTCATAAAACTGGAAAACATGAAGCATACTTCCATTATTACCTTTTAGGTTATGGGAATATCGGGTAAATGAAAAAGAAAGAATCCGCATTAATGATTTCATTTAAGTCCAGGTATTTTATTTCTAAGTTATTTTAAATTCAGCTCAAGATGGATGCCAGACACACACACACACACACACACACACACAATTTTACGTGTAAATACTTAAAATTATATTTTCATTTCTAAATGTGAAGGAGATGGCACTTAAAATAAATGTAAATTAATTGTATATTGCTATTTTAATGAGAGAGGGTTACTCAAATTGGGGCTTCGTCCATTTGTAAATCTACTTAAAAAACTTTAATTTTTATTTCTATATCAAAGATAGTATTCATTTAAAAAAATCTACCTATTTGGTTGATGATTTTGAGGCAAGATACCTGAATTCTCTACTTTCAATTTTATTTAAGAGAGTTATTTAAATCAAACATTGTAACTGTTAGAAGTTCAACTCTCTTCCAAAGATAATATTCAGAAGATTTAACTCAACTCTTGGGATCTAAATGCTATGTTGCTTCTAGCTTTGATATTTGGGTTTTGTATTCGACTAAAAGAAAAGTTTATTAAAGTGTATTTGTTCTATTCTTTGAAATTCCTTATTGAAAATATTCACCACTATTCAATTGCGGTTTATGACCATTTTTAAGCATATATAATGGGAAATTAAAAATCAAAATTATTTTTCTAAATAAAGTAGTAGCACCTTTTAATCATGCCATTATGATGTTTTTAATTTTTGTGCTCAGTCCATAAACATTCCCATTAAAATTGCTTTCATATTAAAAATTCCAAGCTCATCGTGTTCTGTTGTATAAAACAGGTTTTCTTTATAAATAAAGCAAGCAATAATTTAAATTACTGTATTTACTAGACACGATTGAAATTTTTTGTAGGTATTTTGGTGCATCGAATTTCCTTAATATTTAGTTTAAAGCGAATTGAAAGGGAAAAACAGAAGAAGCAAAGCAATCCTACATCAATAAGACTCAAATAATCGATTCTGGCAACTTTAGGCCCAGTCCTTATAAACTGTTATTAGAGTTAGTACCTGTGGACATCACATTGGTGGCGTGATTGGAGACTGGTAGGCATTCAGCAGCACTGTGATGCATGATCAGAGGCAGCGTCGCAGAGGAGTCAGAATTCAGAGGTATAAAGGCATCAGCTGAAGTAAAAGGTTGGCAACTCATTCCCACAAGAAGCGTAGGACAATAAGTCGGAGATTTTGTTCCCTTATCGTCTCAAAAGACCGTTTCAGTTCTCCCTACCTGCATATATACATCAGGAGGGTTCTGAAGCCCCAGGAGGGCTTGTGCAGGTATTTATACAGCAGGGAAATCCCTTTATACATGTTAATAGTCTTTTCCCAGGAGTATTGCTTTATCAAGCTAGACTGCCCTCTATTTGTCCCAAACATGTTCCTGGATGTGAGGCATAACCCTAAACTGAGGAGAAGGTGAAAATCTGAAACTTTGTTTGGCACTTTCAGTAATTTGTGTTTTTTAGAGAAAAATGCAGAAAAGGCATCCCTCTAAGAAATAATGCTAGGACAAAAAAAGCAGGTGTCTTTTTGCTATGAAGGTCACTGCGAATTCGCATATCAGTAGCTCTTTTGAAAAGCCGGTTTCTCATTAAACCTGCAAAATACCATGAAACAAGATAATTGCACATACAGTAAAACCTGTGGAAGATGGAATCTGTGGGAAGTGGAATCCTGTTAAAAAGAAAACTCCAAATATTTTTCACAAAGAGAGCAATTAAAACGTGGTGACTATACCCTGGCAAATGTGGAAAACGCGTGCGACCAAGACAAAAAGACCGTCTCATCAAGTTGGTTCGCACCGTTTCCAAGGTCAGCAGTTTGAATGTGCCCACTGCTTCCAGGAAGAAAGTTGAGACTTCCCGCTCTAGTGATGATTGACCCTCTTGGAAATCCACAGGGTCAGCTGTACGCTTGTCCTATGGGCTTGCGATGAGTTGGAATTAACTTGATTACAGTAAGATTGTAAGATTCTAATTTTATATCGAGAGAATTGTCTAAGGTTAAATATAAGTGAAAGTATTGTTAACTAGGGATGCACAGTTGTGAGCAACCATGGAAACCAATTTGCATCGTAAATAGAAACTAGGAAAACAAATGAATATAAATACCAAAAATATTTGGTATATTTGGAGAAGGAGATGTTATAATGTCGCTCAAATCATTAGTTATTGCATGAAAATACGTAATCGTGTCTTTCACAGTGTCAGCGTCTGTGCTTTGAGGTTATATGTATTAGTCTTTTTCCACAAGAGAAAAAGGTTTTGGGGAAACAAACATTCTCTTGTAACATTCTACATCTCTGGCTTCACACCTATAAAATAGTGGTTTCTCAATATGTCAATATGATAAATTTGCAACAAAATAAAAAAATAAGTTTATTAGGAGTCATGTATAAAAAAATACCCTGAAGACTTCTCAAAATCAAAACTAGTAACTTGCTTAAATAATAAAAAATGTCTGCCTTGAGTATTATGCTCCTTTAAGATTTAGCTATATGAGATAGATTTCACAACAGCCACTTAAAAGGTTGGATTGGAAACATGGGATAAGGTCATTGAATTTATATTAATAGTTGTGGATAGATCAGAAAGGGAGGGTGCGAGTGAGTGCACAAGTCAAAGAATTTAATAAAATGCATTAAATTATACATTTAGAAATTATAGAATTGGCGTGTGTTTTATGTTCATATTCTGAGACATTAAATAAAATAAATTATATATATATTTAAAAGATGAACAGCAGTTAGAGTAAATAGAATTTGAAAACGGCCCCTAAGAGTTTTCCTATTATCATTTAGTCATTGGACTCGATTAATAACATATATCAAACAATGATTGATATTGAAGGAGTATCATAAAACCTGTGTAGCAGCACAAACTATACCAATGTTTCTAAAATGACTAAGTTATATGTAATTTCATTATATATATGCTGTCTATTGTGCCTTAGAGGTTGACAGAGAAGAGTCTTCCACTCAGAAAGGCATAAACACTTTGCTTCCTGTCACTGAAGGCAATGGCCACACTGTAACGTTTTTTATCCCTCTTTCCTCCCTATGTCTCCTATTTGCTTTTCTCCTTTTCTAGCCCTACTGAACTTTGCCTTGGGTTTATGCCGTCCTTCTGATCTAAAAGGGCTGATGATACGAAAGCTGTGGATGATTTCCCTGTGTTACTACTCATCTGACAGGCTTGTTATTGGGCTTACCATTGAGCCACGGGTAAGTTCACAATCAACTCACTCATAGTGACTAAGGACCTTAGTCTTAGGAGTTTAACTAGGGTCTACCTGACAAGGAAGATTGGTCATTTTTTATGATTTTGAGTTTTGTTCTGCATATTTCTCCTACGCTACCAATTCCTCCGGCTGTAATCCATTTACAGACTGGGAAACTATGATATATTGTAGTTGTTAAGTGTCCTCAAGTCAGTTCTAACCTATATCGAACTGACGTACAAGAAACACTGCCTGCTCCTGCCCCAGCTTCACCATTGCTCCTAGGTTTGATCCCATTGGTGACGCTATAGTGACAACCCAGCCTCAGGGGCCTTGTTTTCCCTGCCCGCTTACTTTACCAAACGCCCTTCTCCAGGGAGTGGTCTCTCCTGCTAATAGGTTGAAAGTACATAAGACAAGCCTTAGCATGCTTGTCTCTAAGGAGCACTCTGGCTTTACTTCTGTCACCACATCAGTTTGTCCTTTTAGCTGTCCATGAAACTTTTATTCTTCTTCTTCAGCACCACAATTCAAATGCATCAATTCCCCCTTGGTCTTCTTTATTCGATGTCCAAATTCACATGCATATGAGGCAATTGAAAATATCATGGCTTGGGTCAGGCACCCCGTTGTCCTCAAAGTAACTTGTTTATTTTCAATACTTTAAGGAGGTCTTGTACGGCACATTTTCCGAATACAATATGTCTTTTGATCTCGTGACTGCTTCTTCCACGACCATTGAATATGGATCCAAGTCAGATAAAATTCTTGACAACTTCAATCTTTTCTCCATTTATAATAATGTTACTTTTTCAGTCCAGTTGTGAAGACTTCTGTCTTCTTTACTTGGAGTGGTAATCCATATTTAAATCTGTGTTATTCCTCGCATCATAAGTCCTTGGTTTTCATCACCAAGTACTTCAAGTTCCTCCTCACTTTCAGCACTCAAAGTTGTGTCATCTGCATATTAAAAGTTGTTAATTAATCGATAGAACCCTGATGCTCACCTTTCCTCATTTTAAATCATGCACTGTCCTTTGTTTTGTTCACACAACTGCCTCCTGATCCCTGTGCAAGTTCCAAATGAGCAAAATGTATTGTTCTGGAATTCCCATTCTTCTCAAGGTGATCCATCATTTGTTATGATCCACACAGTGGAATGCCTTGGCATAATCAATAAAACACAAGTGTAACACTTTCTCTTATTCTCTGCTTTGAGCCAAACTTCACCTGACATCAGCAAAGGCATCTCTCGTTTTACATCTTCTTATGAACCTAATTTAAACCTCAGCAGCTCCCTCTCTAAGTACTGCTGTAACTCTTGTTGGATGTTCTTCAGTAACATTTTACTTGAATGTGATATAAGTTATATTATTCTATAGTTTGAGCATTCTGTTGCATCACCTCTCTATGAAAGGATAACAAACATGGATCTCTTCTAGTCATTTGGCCAAGTAGCTCTCCAAATTTACTGGCATAGATGAGTGAGTGTTTCATTGCTTTGTCAGACTGTTGAGACATTTCAGTTGGCATTCCATCAATTGCTGGAGCTTTGTTTTTGGATACAGATTTCAGTGCAGCTTGAACTTCTTCCCTCAACACCATTGGCTCTTGTTCATATGCTACCTCCTAAAATAGTGGAACGTTGACTAGTTCTTTTTGGTATAGTGACTCTGTGTATTCTTTTTGTCTTCTTTTGATGCTTCCTGCATCATTCAATATTTTTCCCAGAGAATCTTTCAAGATTGCAACACGATTGAAACAAGATTGCAGGATATACTGAGCATCTAAGTTTGAGATATTGAGCATCTTGTTCACTTTTCGTTGTCTGATTTTCTATGTCCTTACATTCCATTACAATATTTGGCTTTGTTTCTCAAGATGCCCTTTGAAATTTTCTGTTCAGCTATTTGACTTCATTATTTGCTCCATTTGCCTAACCTACTCTGTGATTAAAAGAAAGTTTCAGTTAATCTTTTGACAACCACTGTGATCTTTTCTCTCATTCTTACCCTCTTAAGGACCTTTTGCTTCTTCATAAATGATGTTCTTGATGCCCTCCCAAGATCAGCAGGTCTTCTGTCATAAGGGCTCAATGCATCAATTCTGCTCTTGAGATATTCTCAAAATCCAGGTGGGATAGACTTCAGGTCATAATTTGGCTCCTGGAAACTTTTTAAAATTTTTTCAGCTCTATCCTTAACTTATATATGAACAATTGATGGTCTGTTTCACAGTTGGCTGGTTTTAGCTGATGATATTGAGCTTCTCTAGAGCTTTTGCCCCAGAGGCAGTCTCTGTGATTTTGGGTATTCTATCTGGAGAAGTCAATGTGCATCACTGGTGCCCATGTATATAGTGTCTGTTGTTGAAAGAAGGTTATTTTCTATGAACACATCATTGGCCTTGAAAAATTCTATCATGCTATCTCTAGGTCCTTTTATATCACCAAGTCCGTATTTTCCAATTATTGTTCCTTCCTCTTTGCTTGCTACATTTGAATTCCAATCAACAAAAATTATCAATCCAGATTGACTGCATGTTCGATCAATTGCTGGTTAAAGTCTTTGGTAGAATGTTTCAATTTCATCATCACTAGCTTTTGTGGTTGTTGCATACATTTGAATAATAGTTATATGGATTAAATTCCCTTGTGGGCATTGTACTACAGAATAGATCTTGAAATGTCCTTTCTAACAATAAATATCCCGCCATTCCTCTTGACTGTATCATTCCTAGCATAGTAAATCATATTGATTTCCTGATTCAAAATGGTCAATACCAATGTTTTTCAGCTCACTTATAGTAAGATACTGATATTTATGCATTCCATTTCACTTTTGATGACTTCCAACTTTCCTAGATTCATACTTCACCCATTACAAGTTCCCCTGCACCTTGAGTCCTGCCCCAGCAGCAAATGAAGATCCT